GCTGCTCCAGCTCAAACCGCAGGTCCGCCAGCTGCGTCCAGGGCTCGGGCAGCGACAGGTCCAGCACGAACAGCAGGAAGCCGCAGCGCTCCACGTGCCGCAGGAAGGCCAGGCCCAGGCCCCGGCCCCGGTGCGCGCCTCGGATGATGCCCGGGATGTCGGCCACTGCGGGACAGCTGCCTGAGTGCGGGGCCTGCGCTTCGCGGGGCGCTGGCCGCTTCTCAGAGCACGTCACCTTCTAGAGGAGCCCCCTCCTCAGGACGGGACAGGGGAGGCGGGACCCCACACGCTGCCCACACGGCTGGCGCTGTCCAGCTCCCGCAGGGAAGGGAGAGCAGAGGCGGGAGAGGAACCGTTTCCTCGGGCCTGATCCTACATGCCGTGGCGCTGAGCGCCCGGGCGAGGCCAGGGGTGCTGGGGCTGGCCTTGGGGGGGGGGGGGCGAGACAGCTGTCTAGGTCGGAAGCTGGGCTCTGGCTCGGGCAGGCGGCGAGAAGCCCCGTGTAGCGTGCTGGGGTCCGGCCCAAGGTCCCTGAAGCCCACCTGTGACCTGCTGGTGGTCCTCGTAGTGGACGACCCCGACGTGGGGCTGCAGGGTAGTGAACGGGTAGGCGGCCACGGCGGGCCTCGCGTTGGACAGGGCCCGGAGCAGCGAGGACTTCCCTGCGTTGGGGACCCCAACCTGGAGGGGCGGGACAGGCGTCACGGGTCTGCGGACGGCGAGGCTGCCCCCGCCCGGCCGCCCAGCACCCACCAGGCCGGCATGTGCCACGGTCTTCAGCTCCAGGAAGAGGACTCGCTCCTGTCCGGGCTGCCCGGGGGTGCACGTCACGGGGGCACGGTTGTCATTGGCCAGGAAGAAGCGGTTGCCCTTCCCGCCTGCGCCCCCCAGGGCTGCGAGGTACTCGGCGCCGGGGCGGGACAGGTCAGCCACCACTTGGCCCCCCTCCTTCACCAAGGTGCCCACGGGGACCTGCGGGTGGACATTTGTGGGCGCAGGAGAAGCGGCAGGGCGAGCCCCCGCCGGGGCGGGGCTGGGGGCCGGCTGCCGAGGGGCCCGCCACGGTGGCCGCACCTGCGCTGCTCCCCTGGGCCTGCTTTCCTCTCTCAGTGCCTGGGGGCCCCGCCCCGCCGCGCGCTCCCGCCCCCGGGATGAGGCGACTCAGAGTCGGAGCCCGACACAAAGGCGGTGGCGGCGGCAGCAGAAGCGGAGGGGCCCAAGAGGCCGCTCCGCCCGCGCTCTCCGGGCCCACCTCTCTCACTCAGGCCACCGGCCCAACCGCTCACCCGCGGGCCTAAGATGGCGGCGGCGGCAGAGACCGGGCAAGCGGTAGCCCCGGGTGGAAAGCGGCGGAGGGGCTACCGCCGCCCGGCTTCGGATCCCCGGACCCTGGCGCGGCTCGCAGCGGGACCATGACGTCCTGGGGTTCTTACCTGCCTGGAGCGGACTCGAAAGGACGCGACTGCACGTTCTGCTCGACCGCCCGTTTTGCCGCCTCCGCCTCGCCCTCCCCAGCGCCGCTGCCGCCATCTTGTGTCCCGGGCCGGGACTCCGCGCTGCGCATGCGCTGGTACCGCCTCTGAAGGACCTCGCCGCTGCCGCGCCGCCATCTTGAGTGTGGCAGACTGGCCGGCTGCTTGTTTTCGGCCCCCTCCCCTTCCTCCCGTTCTTCCCGGCTGTCCCACGCCGGCCTCAGGAGCGGGAGGCGGTTTTGCGGGCGTTGGAATGTAGCTCGGGAAAGGAACGAACTCACAAGCACGCCCCCTGCCTCGGTTTACCGAGCGAACACACCGGTGCGGTCGGTGGGCCAGGGTGGGCGGTGCACCCTCAGGGCCGAAATTGTGCGCATCTGGGGGCGCGGACTATTTTGGAGCCGCCTGGGACTCGGTTCCGACGCCGGCCGGGGGGGGGGGGGGGGCGGAGTCCCGATGACGTAGGCGCTGGGCGAAGTGGAGAACTGGGTCCTAGCCCCGGCGAGGCTCTGCCGGTTCCGCCTAGTGTCTTGCCCTCTCTGGTCCTCTAAGAATATTTCCAATCACTTCCTACATTCAAGCTGCGTGCAAAGCAGAACTTGCCCCAAAATGAGACTACACAAGTTATAACTGCTCAAGTAGGGAAAAAATCATACAGACATGGGTCAGATAATTAAGATGGCTTTTAGCAATGTTGGCATGATGTTAAATGCATACATATACTGTCCAAAACTTAAATAACCTGTGGCTACTAGCTCCTTGCAAAACTTCGCTGAGACCACGAAAGTTTGTCCAGCAGGAGACTGGTTAGCTGGTTGCTAGGTGCCGCCTGCGTGGTTCCCTGCGGGTTTCTTCGCTTTGGGTGGGCAGGCAGGAGCTCCACCTCCCTCTGGCGTCCCAAGTGAGCAGGCCTCCCTCCAGTGGTAGCTTGAGAGGAGGACAAGCTTGCTGCCCGCTACACTTCGGCTGCAGCTTAGAGCTAGAATTGAAGTTGCCACCGCTGGGTACCCCCCCCCAACTCCCTCCAGTGCAGGGGGGGTGAGGGTGGGGGCGTGGGTTTCAACACAGCTGGAGGCAGTGGCGAAGTTACAGGGGTTCCAAGTCAGCGGAGCTGGTAAGATGTTTTAGTTACCTTGTAGATTTCTCTTTCCCTGGGTTGTTCGTTTTCCTTTCCCCTTTTGTAAATAAACCCATTATGGACCCATTTGTGTGTGCCTGCAGGACAATTAAATTTTGAGTGCGAAGGGTGAGGACTTACAGACAGGCAGCCCAGTTCACACTGGAATGCCCTGTAACAGTTTTTCTTCTTGAAATTGGCCCGGGACATCTCAGTCTACACAGATACTGCCATAGCACTTATTTTTGATGCGCAGAATGCCTCAGAAACGTGTTCAGTATCATGATTTGTGGGTCCTCCAAAAGGTTTTGTTGTTAACATGCAAGCAAACAGTATTAAACAATATTATCTAAACTATGGCTGGCAAGTACTGGACCTTAATAATGAAACCAAACCACAAAACATTTCTTTGTAGAGCTAGACAAAAGATAAAATCAAAATGAAAAATATCAACTATCTTAAATATTCCAATTCCCCTATAGTGCAGTCTTCCATGGCTTTATCACTACTGAATATTTTTAAGGAGAAAGTTAACAAAAATCAAACTAGATAAAAATATTTAAATCTTTGGATCCCTTTATTCCATGGCCTTCATAAAAACACAAAAGTGGCCCACTATAGCTTAAAATATCAAAAAGATTTATTAGTAGTTTATAATTAGCAGTGAACTCTATACTGAGTCATCTGGGGGTCACAGGCCCAAGGGCCAGTGTTACAATATCGTAAGAGTTCCCAAAGTAATTTTGAACACTCTTAATTTCTTGAAATACAATGGAATGAGTCAAGGTATCACAACAAAATTCCAGGCATATCAGGAAGAACAGGTTAGTTGATGCCTAGTTTCGATGTCTTTTAAAAAAGGGGGAAGTTACTTATTTGAAAATACAGCTAAGTACATTCTTAGCTATGATTATTTACATTCATATACTGAAAATATCTATTATTTGGACAAATCTTGTGATATTCCATTTGCTAAAAAATGAAATTCTTGTTATTGAGTATGAGTCATTTATCCTTGTCAGATAATGGAAGAATGTATCAAAACTTTATGTTTTAAACATCAAAATATTTCAAAATCTTGTACTTGAAAAGCTATGAAAAAAGGCCCACCATATCTCTGCTCCTCAGCCCAACTTCTGCAAGGACACAGTATGTTTGCTGACTTTAAGATGTTTATTCTTTTAAAGATTAGTTGCTTTTTATACAGCTATACAAATTTCTTAGTGTTTCTTTGGCAATGGAATATAATGGAATTTTACAACTATATAAAAATGTTACCTTTGCCTAAAAAACAGTATTTACTGTGTATACATAGTTGACTGACAAAATTCTCTACCATCAGCACCCTAGTTAATTGACAAAATAAGCTACCTCAAAAGGGGATATTATAGATTTTCCAAAAAGAAAGATACAGTCACACACACACACAACCTTCTGTGGCTCAAAACACAGTATCATGGCCCTATCCGCAGGCAACTTGCAATTAATTGCCAAATACAATTGAGTGATATGAAAAATCCTTTCGGTGATGAAAAAATACTTGTAAGTACCATTGAAGTCCCATTAAGATCTAAGACTCCAGCCTCCATCTATTAAAATCCCTGCACCTCTACCCTGGATCCGTGGTCTTTAATTTCTGTAAGCTTTGGTTTGCTGGAATGGAACAAAAGGCCACCGACCTCTTAAAAGTTTGGCAAGAGGCCCTCCCTGGTGTCG